CCATCCATCCATCCATCCATCCATCCATCCATCCATCCATCCATCCACCACATCTTTACTCACTTCTTACTTTCTGGATTGCGGGGGTTGCTGGTGACATGAGTCCAACAGTCACTGTATCGGTCACAGGGCCACATAGAGACAAAAAGACACAACCTTTCATTCTCTCACGCACTCTTAGGGATAATTTAGTTACCATTGAACACAACATGCATGTTTTTGGTTTTGGGGAGGAAACCGAACTACCCAGAGAATCCCCCACCCACACACAGAGAGAATATGCAAACTCCACACTAAAAGGCCCCAGGGTGGGATTCGATCATTTCAGACAAGTTGATTTTACACAAAATCAATTATACTAAAGAATTTCCAACTGTCAGAGTTTCATGCCAAAACAAACAACTAGCAGTCCTTGAAGGAATCCCATCACACACCATTTCTGATGTCAGAGTTTTAAGCTAAAATCATTTTATGTTGAGAAATGAAGGAGTTGGAGTTCAAACACTGAAAATAGTATCTGCCCAGACTGCAGGTTAACGGGGTTAGAGTTTCCAAGAGCAGAATGAGAGGAAGATCTTTGAGTTATCAGGCTCCTCTCTTGTGGAACCAACTTGATCTTGACCTTGACCTTGACCTTGACCTAAGCTTCTCTCACTGATGTCATTTTATTTTTGTTGTCAGTAGACTAAACATGACAGCAAATAAAAATATCAATTTACAAAACCAGTAATGAGGCTGTAAAACATTTCATACATCTTTTTAGCAAATCTTTAGGATCTGGACAAAAAAAAAAAAAAAAACATCAGAAAATCTCTACATGTCAGACACGTATGTCTCAGTCATAAACATCTTTTTATAAGGGAGTTCACAATTTTCTTTTTTACGCTAGACATTCTAATGAATACTTTTTAAATACATGATTGCAGTAACAATAAAAACTTCATAATAAAAATCAGCTGAAATCAAGTTGAGTCTAATTTAACAGCTCATGATAAAAACAGGATAAAGGACACAAACTCAGGTGTTCTGAATGAAAGTGTACAAATAAGGGAGGATTGTACTTTTATTTGCATTTCAACACTTTTCGTTACCAATTTTAACCAGATCCTGAATATTTACATTGTTTTTTCTTTTGTATACTATTACTATATTATGTAATTTAAGCTCAGAGTCTGTTGGGAAATGTAGCACATGTTTAGTGTTTGAGTTGATAAAAGACTACAAAAAGGAGATAAGAAGATTTAAATACCTGAAACTAAGAGTGAGCGCACATTACTGGCAAGAACAACTGAAACATGAAGCATTTTCTTTTTCTGATCCTCGTAGGAGTGGCAGGTATGGTTCAAAAATATTCACAAAGGGACAACAGGCATCAGAAATCAATGATCGATCTCAGTAAAACCTTTTTCTGGATTCTGTCTCTTATTGTATGAATGTTTATTAAGCATTCATACAATAGTGATCCTCCTTATATTTCTATCCCTATTCCATATGTTTTTGGCATATTTCTCGTTCCACAATGTTTGTGTTATTTCAACAAAATGACAAAATGTTCAGCTCTTTCAGGACAACCCTGCAATTACTTTTGATATTGGTGCAACTTAAGCTTTTCAAAATATTTTGCCTTTTCTGCCATTTTTTCCTCATAGAAAATGAATTGAGCTCATATTACATCCTTCAAATCTTTAGATCTGTTTACAACCTTTTACTGCTGCTTTCACATTTTGTTCTGGTTCAGCTTCTTTCAGCTTCCTTGTGCAAAAAAAAAAATAAATAAAAAAAAATCAACTACTTTCAGGTACTATCAGCTGTTTTGAGCTCCTTTCTGCTTTATTCTGCGAACTACATTTTTGTGCGTCTTCTAACTTATTTCTGCTAATTTCACCTTGTTATGCTTCTTTCAGCTTCTTTCTGCAAGTTTCCACTATTTCTGCTATTTCAGCTACTATTTAGCTGCTTTATGTTAATTTGAGCTTTTTCAGCCAATTCCACATTTTTTGTACTCATTTCAACTTTTTCAGCCTAATTCAGCAAAATAAAAATTCGCTCTCCACATCATTCTGGTAATTTCAGCCTCTTTCTGCTTTTTTTTTAGCTACTATTCAGCTGTATTTTTGGTGCTCATTTTTGCTTATTTCAGCCTAACTTGTGCTCTATCTACTTTATCTGCTATTTTAAGCTTGTTCTATCTTTTTAGCTACTTTTTTTTGTGTGCATTTTTTGCAAATTTGAGCTGTTTTCAGATTAATTCAAGTTTTTCATAGTAATTTTTGCTACTTTCAGCCTGATTAACTTCATTCTGCTTCTTTCAGCTTCTTTTGCTCCTTTCAGCTTATTTCTGCAAGTTTAAACTATTTCTTCTATTTCAGCTACTAGTTTGCAGTTTTTCATGCAAATTTTACCTTTTTCAGCTAATTCCAACTTTTTAGCTCATTTCAGCTCTTTCCACTTCCTTCTGATAGTTTAAGCTTCTTTTTGCTTTTTCAGTGACTTTTCAGCTGCTTTTTTATTGTTGCTAATTTTAGTCTTTTTTAGGTGATTATCTAATTTTTTGTGATAATTTCTGCTTATTTAAACTTAAAATCAGCAAATATGTGTTGTTTTTGCTTTCTGTTACTTTAGACTTATTCGTTCATTTTAGCTACATTTCAGCATGTTTTAGCTAATTTCAGCTGTTCTGCAGCAAGTTCTTCTGCAAAAAGCAGCTGCATGAAACACAATTTCTTGAGTTTATTTATTTTTTTTAATCCACAGGTGCCCTGAAAGATGTTGACAAGATAGTTGGAGGGTATGAGTGCCCAAAAAACTCTGTGCCTTACCAGGTGTCACTCTTCACTGGTTATAACTACTGTGGAGGGACTCTTCTGTCAGAGGAGTGGGTGCTCTCAGCTGCACACTGCAAACCAAAGTAAGAAACATGATGGACAAAATTGCTCCTTTTTAAAGTTCACAATTTGAAGCTGGTTGATACTGATGGCTTTTTATTGGGCTTGGCATGGTAAATTCATTTTCCTGGTATTTTGTAGGTGCATCAAAGAAAAAAACGGTTTCCAAATAGGGTTTTACTTTGTCCAGGTCAGATGTCGAAGTTCGGCTGGGGGAGCATGACATCTGGGAGCCAGAAAATACTGAGCAGCACATCATGTCTGCAAAGTTTATTCTCCACCCCAACTACAACCCCCGCACGATGGACAGCGACATCATGCTGATCAAACTGAGTCATCCTGCCACTCTGAACAGCTTCGTCCGTCCTGCTGCGCTCCCATCAAACTGTGCCAGCACTGGGACCATGTGTCGAATATCTGGGTGGGGGAATATCCGCCCCAGTGATGAGGGCTGTGAGTTTGTTTGCTTCTTAAAATGACAACAATTTAAAAATGAATTAAGTCAATTAATGATTTGTGTTTTTACAGCGAGATATCCAGATAAGTTGCAGTGCCTGGATGCTCCTCTCTTGAGTGATGACACCTGCTTTAACTCATATCCTTTCCAAATCACTGAAAACATGATCTGTGTTGGATACCTTGAGGGAGGGAAGGATTCATGTCAGGTAACATCATGATCATAGAAACAGCAAATGCTTTTGCCTTGTAGCAGTTTGTGTCACCTGTAAATAACCCAAGAACGCATCATGTCTTTTGACCTCAGGGGGACTCCGGGGGTCCTATGATGTGTGATGGAGAGCTCCAGGGAGTTGTGTCCTGGGGACGTGGTTGTGCTCAGAAAAACAAGCCTGGGGTGTACACAAAAGTGTGTAATTATGTTTCCTGGATCAAGGCAACAATGGTGTCTGGCTGAGCAGGAAAGATGGTGAAGAATTAACATGTGAGCTGAAAGAAATCAGTAAAGTCAACAGTTTGAGTTCAGTATTTATAGTGTGGTTTCTGCTGTTCTTTTGACCCCAACACATTTCAATTTAACACCTGCGCGCACGCACACACACACACATGCACGCACGTGCAGAGAGCATCATGAAGACCAAGGAACACACCAGGCAGGTCCGAGATACTGTTGTGAAGAAGTTTAAAGCCGGATTTGAATACAAAAATATTTCCCGAGCTTTAAACATCCCAAGGAGCACTGTGCAAGCAATCTTATTGAAATGGAAGGAGTATCAAACCACTGCAAATCTACCAAGACCCGGCCGTCCCTCTAAACTTTCATCTCGAACAAGGAGAAGACTGATCAGAGATGCAGCCAAGAGGCCCATGATCACTCTGGATGAACTGCAGAGATCTACAGCTGAGGTGGGAGAGTCTGTCCATAGGACAACAATCAGTCGTACACTGCACAAATCTGGCCTCTATGGAAGAGTGGCAAGAAGAAAGCCATTTCTCAAAGATATCCATAAAAAGTGTTGTTTAAAGTTTGACACAAGCACCTGGGAGACACCAAACATGTGGAAGAAGGTGCTCTGGTCAGATGAAACCAAAATCAAACTGTTTGGCCACAATGCAAAATGATATGTTTGACGTAAAAGCAACACAGCTCATCACCCTGAACACACCATCCCCACTGTCAAACATGGTGGTGGCAGCATCATGGTTTGGGCCTGTTTTTCGTCCGCAGGGACAGGGAAGATGATCAGAATTGATGGGAAGATGGATGGGGCCAAATACAGGACCATTCTGGAAGAAAACCTGTTTGAGTCTGCAAGAGACCTGAGACTGGGACGGAGATTTATCTTCCAACAAGACAATGATCCAAAACATAAAGACAAATCTACTATGGAATGGTTCACAAATAAACATATCCAGGTGTTGGAATGGCCAAGTCAAAGTCCAGACCTGAATCCAATCGAGAATCTGTGGAAAGAGCTGAAGACTGCTGTTCACAAACGCTCTCCATCCAACCTCAGAGCTCGAGCTGTTTTGCAGAAAGAATGGGCAAGAATTTCAGTGTCTCCATGTGTAAAACTGATAGAGACAAACCCCAAGAGACTTGCAGCTGGAACTGCAGCAAAAGGCGGCGCTACAAAGTATTAATGCAAGGGGGCCGAATAATATTGCACGCCCCACTTTTCTGTTTTTTATTTGTTAAAAAAGTTTGACACATCCAATAAATTTCATTCCACTTCACAATTGTT